TATGTTCTTTTGGAATCTTTATTCTAACACTATACAGTTCTCACGAAGGTAGGATTCAAGCTTCGGCTTAACTCATGTTCCATGCTATGTATATGAAATGTTTTTTTGTTTGCTTACTTGCAGTAAATGGTGTACCAGTGCATGGCTTGAGGGCAGGCAAACTCGACCGAGACAACGTTCATGAAGAGGACGTAAACTACGAGGTGAAGTATTTTTCTACAATATTTCATTTTGCTCTTTGCACTCTTCTTTTTTTTTTGTTTTTTTTACAATTTCTTTGATCCTTACAATATATTTTTATGAAGTATTCAGCAGTTAAGTACAAATAAAATGTTTTCGAAAGTCAAATCACGGAAATATTGGCATAATATATTCCTGAAAATTTATTCTGATTTTTATAAATTTATATATAAATTATTAAATATATTTGTGTGTATATATATATATGAATATTGTCGAATATTTTCATCTGTAGCCATCCCTTCGTGGCGTTTGTCCACCTAACTCGGTTGATCTCTTAGCGTGGCTTCTCTTTACTTATGTATGTGTTCAGGAATTTCGGTATTTGTTAGTTTGTGTTTACCCAACAGCTAAAATTGACTTTTTCCCTTTTTATGCAACTAATTAAAGCTTGCGTCGTTTCAGTCGAGGGAGTATTTTGAGCTATGAAAATTCGTTTTGACTCAACTGAAAAGAGCGGGAAAACAATTTGAAGTTTATCTGGCATTCGTCTATATTTCAACAGTCGTGTAACCTTTCAACGGTGTAGTGGCGGTTCACTGAATATCAGTTTATCTTGGCTCGCAGCAAAAAGTTATATAAATCGTACTCTTGAATCTAAGTTATGAAATGTAGCTTTTGTTTGTTCGAATGGTTTCTTGAAACTATGACGGCTAACAGTAGCGATTCGGTCTTGGGATATTAATAGGAGTCCCATTTGAACGAACATGAAGGTTTATAGTTTGAAATTCTCACCAACGTACCGAACCGTTGTTCGTCATGCTTAAAGTATGAGCGTTGAGAGATAAGATAAACAAAACAACTTGCAAGGTATTTCACGGTACTAAACACAAGACTGACTGACTCCAATAGGGGGCAATTATTCTAAAAAATAAAAAGAATTCTTAATCCCGCTCGTCGTCTTTTCTTTGATCAAAACTATGATTGAATTAGCTAAATGTCATTTGCTAAATGTCGACAGCTTGACCTTTTAAGACTTTTTTGTTAAGCAATGTATTTTAATATCTGTTACATGTATGTGACGGGTTCTGTCCTCATTCACGTTCATCTTCTCTATAATCTTCTTGACATAAGGGATGGACCATTAGATAATTGAGGGGGAAGGGATAGCGGTTGCAGGAATTTATGTTATACGATCAAATGTTTTTTTGTAACAACTCTTACAAGCAGTTTTTATTTTTGTGTTTAATTGGAAAAATAGCCTATCTATTTGGAACATTTGCTCTTTTCCACCTTTATCATCGTTTTATACAAAGCAAAAGCCTAAAAAAGATTAGAGAAAATATGGTTCTAAATTTTAACGGATTCCTACGAATCAAAATTTCATATCAAATTTTTTACAATAACTTAGCGCGCGCTTTCCGTTTTTATCGTTTTTATTATTGTAAAAAACAAATTGACTTCAGATTTTTATGTGTCTGTCCTCTTATTGACTATAAATTTCGCCATCACATTGTCAAAGTAGTTACCCTGTAAGCAGAGGTTTTTTTCTGACGGTCAGAAGAAAAAAACCCTCTACTTGCAGGTTACAAAGTAGTATGTGGTCCACACTACTTTGACAATGTGATGACACAAAAATCTGATGTCAATTTGTTAAGACCTCCAATTTGTTAAGTTCAGAAAATTAAAATTTTATGACAGGTTCTGTTTTATTTCAAAGAGAGACGACTTTCTAGCTTGACCCCTGTGACGTCACACAGTTTCTCTTGTAAAAAAACAAAAAAAMAAAAAAAAAAAAAACAAAAAAAAACATCCAACTGCGTGTATTAAACTGAAAAAAATACGGTGTTTATTTTGACGAAAGATTCCGATCCAAACCATTTAAGGTGACTGCCTACTTTTAGAAATTGATTTAAGCTTTTTTTAAAACTTCGATTTTCCGAATTGAAATTTAATGTTGATTCCAAAACTGGAAAGAAAAATAGGGTGCCCCGAGCTCGTTTTCGAGATAATCAGCATTTAATGGAAGCCTACGCACGAGCTTTTGGAGTAAAAATTGTGCCACCGGAAGTGATTATAAATAAATTAAGATTAATAAGATAATAGTTATTTGCAGACTATATGATTGCACGAACGAAGGCTAGTCAATCCTTCTACAATAATACATGGATATTTTCGACAAAAAGACAGAGAGATACATTGATTTGTCATATTTTGTAGTTTCGGTGCTCTTAAAAAATCTCATAAAGTCGAACAAAAATCCCTACAAAAATCTATTTTTTCACGTGTTCCTGATTTAAACTTTTCCTAAAATGTTGATATAACCTAGATTTTTAGGAGTTTTTTTCGAATGAGCTATCAAAAAATATAGAAGTCCCGTGCAAAATTTGAGGGTTTTGCCCTGTTGAAGCTCAAAACGCGTATGGTTCTTCAATAAAATCTTGTAGATTTTTCAGCAGTTTTTGAGCGCGCGCACATCGTGGGCTCAAATCGAAAGTTCAAAAGTATGCAGCCACCTTAATACAGTCCGTGAATAATTGAAGTAACTGTATCCACCTCTGCTTTTCTTTTCTTTCTTTTTTTTCTTCTTTTTTTTCAACTCGATGGTTTACCATTTTTCCTTAAGTATGGTGCTCCGCGGGGGCTCCGCTAAAAACCAGACTGTTCTTGCAAATAAAGCGGCTGGCTAAGTTTATGTCGCTTACGCCAAATACGCAACGGTTTTCGCCTTTTGTAGGCTGGAAATAAAGCTCATTGTTGATTGACCATTAATTCACTAATTAATTAATTAATTCATTCATTCATTCATTCATTCATTAATGTATATAGATCGTTTTATAGATAACAATCAGATATTGAGTAACTGGGCTTAAAGCATTTCGAATCATCCACTGGACACTTGGAACGAGATCGCAAACCCCACGATTATAGAGAGGCGCTGCAGGCTGTGACTATTAGAATATTTTGATTAACTAGGCATGCTTTGATTCAGCTAATAGAAGGTCCATACTAGACAAGCCAATTCATCTGTAATGCCTAAGTGTTCCATGGCTTCGAGTTTTGATTTATTTTACAAGCCGATTCGACTCCGATGCTATATTACAAATATTTTGGGTCTCACAACTACTACAAATAAACATAGTATAGTAGTAATAAATTATGCGTTCGGTGTATATAT